TCGAGCACGTCAGGATCTACCAACTTCAAAGCTTTGTCTATGTTGCTTTCATTTAATGCAAGCCTCACATAATTGATTTGGAGGGTTGATCTCTTGTAGTTCTTTCACCATACTTGTTTTTTATAACAACTTCAATCCAGAAAATCCAAGATGTCCATATCTTAGATGCCACAGCCATGAATCATCTTTGATCGCGATCTTCATGCACTTGACTTCTCCTGATTCGATATCAATTGTAAAGAGACGATTTCGAGTCATATCAACTTGGGCTATCAATTCTCCTTCTTTATTTTTGATGGCAAGCGAGCGATTCTTCATCTACACTTCATATCCTTTTTCCAGGAGTTGACCAAGACTGATGATATTGCTTTTCAAAGCAGATACATAATAAACATCTGAAATTTATTTCTTTTCACCATTTATCTGAGTAATCATGACTTCGCCTTTTCCTTTTAGTTTTGCGTGCGAGTCATCTCTGAAAGTTACTCGCCCATGGACTGTTTCATCTAATTTCACAAACAATTCATTTTGACTACACATATGGTTACTGACACAATTATCAAGATACCAAATATTTTTCTTGAATTCTTCACTTCCTTTATAAGTGAGGAATACATGATATTTTCCAATTTTTTCTTCTTCAACTGCTGCTATGTTATTTCTTTCTTCTTGTTTAGGAGAAGATCTACATTCATAACTATAATAGCCATACTTATTGCAATTATAACATTGTACCTGAGATTTATTTCCTTATAGATATTTGCCTCTACTTCGGCCTCTGAATCCTCATTCACGGCCTGATGTTGGATTGTTTTCACTTAGTTGATCGGTGACATATGATCGACCATCACGTCCACGAGTTCCTTGTCCTCCTCTATATCTTCCACGATAACCACCATGATTTCATCGGCCTCGTGTGTAACTGCTGCTAGCTTCTCATTCGTTGACATTCATCTTGCTTTGTAGAGCTTGCTCCAAATTTTCAGAATCTTCATTTTGTTTCATTTTCTGCTCATGGGCTTGAAGTGAACCCACAAGCTCATCGATTGATATTTGGGATAAATCTTTCGATTCTTCGATTGCCACAACCACTTAATCAAATTTTCTTGTCAATGATCGCAAAATTTTTTCCATCACTCTAACCTCGTCGAGTGATTCACCATTTCATTTCATTTACGAATGTTTTTACACGGCTAATATAACCATTGATGTTTTCTGTATTTTTTTAACATCTCAAACTCATCTCTAAGAGTTTGTAAGCGTACATTCTTTGCTTTTTCGGCACCTTGGAGAGATTTTTGCAAAATATCCCACGCTTGTTTTGCGGTCTTCGCATCAGAATTTTTTTCAAATGTAGATTCGTCTACTCCTTGAAAAATAAGTAACAACGCTCTTTTATCTCTTTTCTGGGATTCCTTCAATACCTTCTTGTCTTAATTGGTCAGGACTGCTTCTGCTGCTGTATTTTCAGGCTCGGTGTAACCATCCTCGATGATATCCTAACAATCTTGGGAGTCCAGTAACGCATTCATTTGAATACTCCAATTGACATAATTCGTCTTTGTCAATCTCGGGATTTGTGGTTGAATCATGTTGGCCATCTTTTCCACCACGTTAAACTCGAACCAAGCTCTAGATACCACTTGTTGGAAGCGTAGGTGGGCACTCGAGTAATTTTTTATAACTCAAAATATTATTAATACGAGGCAAAATACGTTACAAAGACGTTACCCTAATATTACAACATTACAACACTAGTTGCGGCTAGTTTACAAACACAACCTCGATATTCAAGCTTTGCTAAGCTTTCCTCAATTCTCTCTAATATGTTCTTTCACTCGTATTTTTTTCTTTTCATTGCATATATAACTAAACTTAGGATGCACATATATATATAGGTATGATAAACCGTTTCATATGCTTCTACAATCTTCTTATCGCCTTGAATTTGCTTGTTTTCTTTTCCTTATGTTTATTGTGTAAATTCCTTAATTTCCAAGCTTGCCAACTCAACTTGAGCTGCTGCCATGTTTTGTTACTGCTCATTCACATTATAATATTATTAGCTTAATTTCTAAGTAATTCATGAAGTTTCCCATCCATGATTAGTTGCCACGTTTTTCCACATTGCCTCCATGTTTGACTAACTTTCATATTTTATTTCCCTTTGTTTTATAGCCGTCTTTGTTAACTTTGTTAGAATTAAGTTGGATTTCTAATAACCTCCTCCGAAATGAATGACATATTTGTAAGAGCACTCATAACAGCCCTGAAAATTAATGTTCAACATGAAACTGGACAACAAAGTTGTTGAAAAAGGAAAAAGTACAATATTATAGAATGCAACTCACAATTAGGGATGTACATGGAACTCGAATCTGATGGGTTTCGACCTGATCGGGTCGGATTTTTTTTTAAAAAAATTGGGTTTAGGTCGGATCGGGTCAAGTCCGGTTTTATATTAAATATTTGGAGTCGGTCGAAGTCGGGTTTAGGGTTAAAACAATCCTACCCAATCCGACCCGATTAGTTAATGCATAATTTTTTTTCCTTTTTTTACTTTCCCTATAATGCGTAGCGTTTTCTATCAATTCAAAGCATAAAAGAAAAAGATGAAGGAACCATCAAAACAAAACTAGGCTAGTCGACAACTTTCATGGTTCCTGAGAGAGGTGAATACAATTGACAAGCGTGATATTAGGGCGTGGATTCCAACGATTATTTTAGCTGCTTTTTAAACTCATTTTAATGTTTTTTTCACGTTTTTCCCTCCTTTTTTATTTTGGTCAAAATGCGGGACCAAACATGATATTAGGGTGTGACTTTCAATTATTATTTTAAGTATTTTTATATTTTAAATTAAAAAATTTGTGGGTTTTAATAAATAAAAAATTAAATCAGATCGGGTCGGGTCAGATTTTTTAATTGTCTATCGAGTCGGGTCGGATCGGGTGAAATTATAATTTCGTCGCGTCGGGCCGGGTTACGGGTGGAGTATCCTTTCTTCTCGGGTCAAGTCGGGTGGTCCAAAACCCGACCCATGCCCATCCCTACTCACAATCCTCCCAAGATGATACAAATTCCCGCGACGAAGACGGCACTGCTGCTTTCGACTTTTTCAGTCATGAGAACGCCTACAACCCAAGCTTGAAAAGTCCATGCTGCATAAATTATTCCCATGCTTCCAATCAGCAAGCCTTTAGTGAAACCCTGTTTCATCCCTAACTCCATACTTTTCTGAAGAGCATTGCTAAACTAGTCTAGAGTTTGGCACTCGGCGACATACGAATAAACTGTTCCGATCGAGGAAATCGCTTGCTCTGCAATCCCACCTGTGTTACCATAAGCAGCCTTCATCTCCGCACCTACGTTCATCAGTGCATTATCGAAATCCAAGTCCCGGGATTATGAACATTAGCGCGAACGGCAAAGCAGCCAACGTAAGTCGCCAGGAAAGCTTGAAGCAAACCACAAGGCTTAAGATGAATGATGTGAGGTGAGCCAAGCAGTTTGGTATCTAAAATCAACTATTAATCATGAGACTAAAACATTTACACTTTTTCAAGAGCTGAGAAGGCAATCGGCAAACCTTGTCGGCGATGGTGTCTTGGATCGAATGCACATCGGAAGTGACGGTAGAGACGACCTGAAACGAAGAGGAAGAGGCCGTTTGATCATCGAAGAAACCTACTTCTTGCCTGAGAACCGACTTTAGATATTCGACCCTCATGCGAGATGCCTGCCGTTCTGCACATCTCGTCCAACAAACTCGCTCTGGCATATGAACATATAAGCAGTTAAAAGGAAACTTTTTCCCATACCAAAATGAACAAAATCGAAATTACATTTGCACATACCAATGAAAGCAGAGATTCCCACTCCAATTGCAGAATAAAGCAGCCTAAGTGCATACTGCAAAAGTCAAACAGAGGCAGCTTGTTAATAACGTACCAAGCAAGTTAGCATCTTAATAGTACTAATTTAGCTAAGGTACCTTGTCTACTACGTCATTGGAGAAAGACTGATCAGCCGAACCATAATCGTTTAACGCGCCACTAAGTATGTACATGTTAACAGGGGACATCATTCCGTCTCCGATGCTACCCAAAGTTCCGAACAACAAGAGCAGTTTGTCTATCCCATCGGCATAACGTAACAGCCCACCACCACCACATTTGCTCGCCATAGCAGCGACTTCAATGTCGTTCCCTTGGTGCTTGATCTTCGTAATAAGTAAAACTTATAGCTGTAGAAATGTGTGTTTTATGCCAAATGGATTCAGGGCTTATGTTTTTTTAATTAAATCGGCACTTGTTAAAAGGATTTGTTGGTTTCAATAGTATAACTCATAAGTAGGTTTATTAACCTATTACTAACAAGAAACCTCACCTCGAGACAAGGATGAACGATCGATTTTATATTAATATACGAACTTATAAAATTTTAGGATAGTGAAATATATTATTAATATAAAATACAAAAAAATATTTAAAATATACGATATTTTTAAAAATTTTAAAGGTACGACCGCTCCTGCCCTCGGTTTATCCCTAACTCAAGGTAGAGTGTTCCTTGTTAATGTCACCTGCTTGTCTCTAGATTCCTTCTGCTTATATTTAAAAAAATATTTAAAAATTATAAAATGATCATCTGATTATTCATATATTTTAAACTTATTTTTTTCTTTTAAAAAATTAATGACAATCGTCTGAGATGAACACGAATCTATCAACTATATATATAAAAAGAGTGTTCCTTGTTAATGTCACCTGCTTGTCTCTAGATTCTTCTGCTTATATTTAAAAAAATATTTAAAAATTATAAAGATCTGATTATTCATATTTTAAACTTATTTTTTTCTTTAAAAAATTAATGACAATCGTCTGAGATGAACACGAATCTATCAACTATATATATAATAAAATCTCATAATTAATCATTAAAATATAATTTATAGTTACAAACAACTATGATTTATCGACTATGGTGCTCTTAGCATAGATACTGCATAGATACTAAGCGCAGCACGGTAGCCTCGAAAGACCAGCGTCAACAGCCGGTGAAGCAGAGAAGACGAAAATGGTGAGAGTAGCCACTTACTTCGCTATGTCATTAGGCGCCTTCGTTTTCTGGCAATCAATGGAAAAAGTCCACGTTTGGATAGCCCTCAACCAAGACGAGAAGGTCCACCAAAACCCCTTTTTTTTCTTAATGCTGTTGTGCTTGCAGAAAGAGAGACTGGAAAGTGAAGCGGGGATTAGAAGAATGAGGGAAGAGCTGCTTCAGCAAGCCAAGCTAAATGAGCGTCTCGCGTAAATTCTGCGTTCAAGTCCTCGTCTTCTTGTTGTTGTCATTTTGTTTTAGCTCCGATTTGTTTTGATTTGACCTCAGCGGGATTGTGGTTACTGGTGAAGAACCATAATATTTCCTTTGAAAAATGAGCTGATAACCCCATGATATGTATGCCATGGACGAATTGTTTGTTTTCTTCTGCTTTATAAAATGCCTACACTGTCTGTTTTGAAATGGCTGGGTTTTCTATTTGTATTGTGTTTATTTCTCATGTTCACTTGTTTACTGAGTTCCACTATATTGATTATTGATTGCCTTTGGTAGCTTATTTTTTAGGATTTTGACTGCTGATCTCTCTTGTCGAATGAGTGACAATCAGTCTAGCTTTTGTTTTTCAGATGAGAGCTTAATTTATTTGAACTGTGATAGGAAGGGGAGAAATATAACATTGCATTTCTTCTGTGTGGAGAAATGTATATGTATATATATATAATTTACTTACTGACTGCGTTGCTCTAACTCTTCGCTTTTCATGAAATACTCATGTCTTGCTCATGTCCAACCAGGGGTTCTCCAAATACATGAAAAAACTTGCACAAGAAATGGAACATAACCGATGCTGGGTAACATAGCTTGCTGATATTGCTAATGTGCACCACTTTCTGCCTCTAACTTGATTTTTAGTCCTTACCTGAAACTAGTCAGCTTTTCCTTTGGCCACAATCTTCTTTTCCATTTTTCACACAAGCAGTATTTGAATCTTTAGACATGACAGATTCCACAAAGCTAACATTACTTATTTGATATATGGTATGTTATATCTATCGTATGCTTAGCGGAACTATCAAGTCTATCATGAAAAGTATGTGTACTGAAGAGAACAAAAATACTTGGGTTTCATCTTACCTAAAAACACATTTATATTAACATTAATATATCTATGCCTGTTGTCAAGGTATTGAAAACACATTATGATATACCAATCATATTATTTGTTTGACGTGTGGTATTACCATCAACTCCTTTGCCATAATAATTTTGTTCATTATGAATGATTGATGGGTTACTACCATGTTTAAACTGAGCATACCTTGCTGGTGCAGAATCTGGAAAGAACTTGCTAGTTCGATTTTTGTTTAACCAATTCATTCCAACTGTTAAACTAGACTGCTGTAAGTTAACTTTTAAGCTTTCTTTTCAAAGCTAATTTTAAGATTCCTTTTGGATCTCAAGCCATTTACCACTTTTTCCCATCATGATGCCTGCACAAGCATTGGATTTTGTTTTCTGTTTTACAATTAACTGACTGACCCTATGGTGAGAAGTGAGATTACTTGGGATTTTTACTTGAATGAACATGGTAATATGCCGGGGATGAGTGCGTGGACCGAGCATACCATGCTGGTGTAGAAACTGCCAAGTATATTCTAATTTGATTTTTGTTTAGGCATTTCATACCAATAGTCAAAGCAGACTGCTATAAGTTGTTTGTGTGCTTCTCTGCAGGGATGGACGGAGGGGGAGGGTGGGGCAGTCTCCCCGCCCCTGAAATTTTAAAATTATTATATATTTTAGATTTTTTCTATGTATTTTCTATTGAAAATCTGTTTTCACCCCCTGAAATTTTATGAGTTCAAGTTCGCTCCCTTAGGTGGCGTTTGGTTGGATGGAATCCTTTGGAATTGGTGGGAATTGGAATCCAATTCTACCACTTTCCCATGTTTGATTCAAGTTTTTCAAGGGAATTTGGGATTCCAATTCCCTTGTTGGAGGGAATTAAAATTTGACCATACTACCATCATCAATCTTTTGGTAACTTATTCATATATTGAATAAAAATATTTTTTTTTATTATTTCAGGTCGGGTCAGGTTTCTAATTCATATATTCCGATCGGGTCGGGTCGGGTGAAACTATATTTTGGTCGGGTCGGGTTTTTTGAGTGTGATATTCGGGTCGGGTTCGGGTTTAGGGTGGAAAAAATCGGACCGACCCAAAAATATATATAATTTTACATTATATATTTAGGAATAATTACAATAATACCTCTCTATATATATTTTTCAATTAAGTCATTGTTTTTATTAAACAAAAATATTTTTTTATTATTTCGGGTCGGGTCGGATTTCTAATTCATATATTCGGGTTGGGTCGGGTGAAACTTTATTTTGTTGGGGTCGGGTTTTTTTAAGTGTGATATTCGGGTCGGATGAAACTTTATTTTATTAAAAGGAGTATATTTTTTGAGGAAAACTTAAGACAAAAATGATAGTTTAATACTATAACGAGTCAAGAAAAAATTTAAATAACAAAGTGAGAAAATAGATATAATTCAAGCCCCGAATCATAAATTAAGCCTAACTAACAATTGTTATGTTATTGGCTAAACTCACGATATAATGCCCTCAAAATAAATAATTCACGAAATAACGTTATCCCAACATTATTTGCTGAAATAGGGCGAAATCAACAGTGTGGCCGTAGGTCGCCATGCCTTCCGGGCGACCTACGACGTGGCTTGCTCTGCATGGGACATGCACAACCCAACCATAGGTCGCCATGCACTCCCAGCGACCTCCTAGGTCGCCATGCACGCCCGGCGACCAAGGAGGTCGCCATGCACTCGGGGCGACCAAGGATTCATGCATGGGGAGATCGTGCCATGCACTCGGGGCTCGGTTCATGCATGGGGCACTCGAGGCGACCAAGGAACGGTTCATGCATGGGACACTCGGGGCCATGGAGTCCCGGCAAGGTCGCGAGCAGGCGAGCATGCAGCAGGGCATGGATGGGCGTGCATGGGCGTGCTCCTTTGGCGAGATGGGCGTGCATGGGCATGGAGGTCGTTGGCTGGTAGGTCGCAGGGCATGCATGGCGACCTACCAGGTCGCTGGGCGTGCATGGCGACCTGGTAGGTCGCCGGGCGTGCATGGCGACCTACCCCCGGTACTGTAGAGGACACCACTTGAGCAATTAATCTGACGATCCCACTATTTCGTGAAAAAAAAAATTTCAACGCACTATCAACGAGATTTTGCCTATATTTAAGGGTTCACTGTTCTTTCCAAAAAAAAAAACTACCCTTGCAACGGAAAAAACGCGGGGGGGGGGGGGATAAACTTCAAGCAATGGTCTCACCGGTCGGTGTCTCGGCGGAGCCTCTCTCTGCATCGGGACGGACCGCAGAGAAGCTGAGTCTCCCTTCTCTCCAATATAAAATGAAAACTGACTCGGAAGGCTACGATACGGAGCTCAGTCTCATCCGTAGCCAATTCTATTCCGCTCTGGAGCTCTTCCAGCAGCAAACGGCTCTCAACTTCACCTCCATCAGTGGCGTCGGTGCGGACCCGACTGTGGCCAAGAACCTCGCCGACCGCGCTATGTTCTTGGCCCACGTCACGTCGTTCTATCCCAATCACCTCGCCGAGTTCCCTTCTGATCTCGCTGCTTTTCTCAAATCATCTGCAAGGACTCTTCCATCGGGTCTTAGGTTCCACGTCACTCAAGCTCTCGTTCTATTCGTTAACCGGAAGGTGATAGAGAAAATTAGTTAGTTCTTCTTTGTTATTAATATTGAAAACGTTAAAAAAAATTCTCTAGTATTGATCTTAGATGTTCTGGTTTGACTTGAAATTTTGGATTTTGGCATTTGACAGATTATTGATATAAAAGACACACTAGCGTTGTTCATGGAGTTGCAGACACTAGATGATAGGAATTTGAGAAAATTAGCTTTTTCTCATGTTGTTCATAGTATTAGAAGAATGAACAAGAATCATAAGAACGAGGCCATGAATCGTGCCCTCCAGAATGTCTTGTTTACATTATTGCAGGTCTTTAAACAATGCCAATATTTTCAATCATAGTTTATTGTTTGGTTGCATTTTTAATATATTCTCTATATTTGTTATAGCAAGAAGGTGAAGCAAAAGCAAAAAGGTCTCTTATTACATTAAGCGAGCTTCATCGGAGAAAGGTTTGGTTTGATGATAGAACAGCAAATGCAATTTGTATGGCTTGTTTTCATTCATCTTCTAGGTATGCATGATTTCTCTATGGTTAATATCTGTTGTTTATGATGTTGAGTTTTAGTAAGTAAACTATTTGTATTTGATTTTGCAGAATAATGATTGCTGTTCTCTCTTTTCTTCTTGATTATGAGAAGATTGAAAATGATGATGAGGACACAGATGATTTAAGTAGTGAAGATGAAATCGTTAAAACACCCAAGTTGTCATCAACAAGGAGACTGCCTACAAGGTTATTTGCATCTTCTGATCCAATTTCTGTTTTTTTTTTTTTTAATTTGTACCACTCTCCTTTTGTATTAGTGCCAACTGTGAAATTTCCTAGATTCTACCATGGGCTCTACACTTTCTCTTGGCTTTTGTAGGTTTAGGATGATACCAATAAGTTTTAGTACTTGAAAGATATATGTATATATGTATATACATGACTGATGTACGTAATTTCATTGCCTAGCAGTTTGTGTCTGTTTTTATTTTTGTTTAAAGAATGGTAGATGCTTTCTATTTTCTTTATGTTACAATATATGTGGTTGGTTTTTTTTGTATTTTCAGGCACATCATAAGGGTACAACTGCTAGCAAGAAGAAAAAGAAAGCAGAACTACAGCGTGCTATTCGTAGCATGAAAAGGCAGCAACGCCCGTCATCAGAAACTAACAATAATAGTTATTATTCACCCCTTTACCATCTAAAAGATGCGCAGGTTTGACCCTTTTCACACATTTTATTAATTGCATTTTCTGTAATATTGCATTTCTTAGAAAGCTTAAAATTATGTTCTGTACACAGGGTTTTGTAGAAAAACTATTTTCTCGCCTTCAAACCTGCAATGAACGATTTGAGGTGAATGCTTTTCCTGATGCTTCGAATTTGGAAGATTTTACCCTACTTCTTGTGACAGATTCAACCATCTGTAGAAATTATACTTTTTTGTATTTCGTACCTGACTGTTTAGTTTTTTGTATTTCCTTGTGAATTGAATGTGTGACTTCAGGTTATGAAAGCTTTAGTTAGAGATTTATCTGTAGTTTGTTTTCAGCAGTCGATAAACTCTTAAATTAAATGCCTCATTGATTTTGAGTTCCCTAATGTATTTAACTTCGGGTTAAAATGATGATGTTGAAAGTGAGTTCCAGAACAGTTGGCCTTCACCGCCTGATATTATTAAATTTCTACCCTTTTCTTCAAAGATATGTTCAGGTATGATGTCTTCATTTAAGTGTTCCGTCATAAACATA